ATGTGGAGACATGGGAGAAACAACACAGATTTATTCCTAAGCAAACATGAAGGCTTTTCTTTTTTTTTTCCCCTCCAGATACAAAGTTCCTGGAAAAGTTCACTTAAAATATGGAGTGTGTGGGTTTTCTTTCTTTTTTTTTCCCCCTCCCCCTGTAGGGATTGCAATTGGGAAGAACTTCCTATCTGCCCTGGTAACAGCAAAATAGCAAGTAGCAGCCTCCATCCAACCGCTGCTCCACAACTGCAGTGCAGAAGCAGCTTGCAAGGTTGGCTCGGTGGGATTCCTCCTCCAAAGGGCTGTATCTGCCCGAAGCGCGAGCTGCGCTACCGAGCAAATTCCTCTGAGCTAACAGCTAAATATTACAAAGCAACCCAGATTTCTTTGGTGGAAGTTATGCACTTCCACACTCGGGATTAGCACACACGCTTGAAAAAGGAGTTTTAACAAACAGATGCATCACAAAGAACATTTCTAAGAAGAATGTGAAAAAGTCATCTCCAGATCACCATTAGCAAACGTAGGCACCGCTCGTGGCTGTTTTGCTCCCTTATCTGCTCGCAGGTGTGCAAATGAAGGGAACAAAAGCGCATGAGGCCAGCGCGGAGGTGGCTTGCGCAGTCCTTACTCACAGCCCCTATTGTCACCCGCTGCTGCGTTAACTCTTCAATATCCCTCAAATCCTCCTTACACCACTTTTCATGTTGGCAGCTTTCATCGACCCACTCCAAAGCTTGAGAGAACAGCTGCAAGTTTGATTAATTTTGAATTCACATTTTATCATGGGCCAAGATATAGAGGCAAGAAACTTCCACGAAGAATTTTAACAAATGCACAGGGTAAACTCAGAAGACCCAGCTCCAGCCACCTCCTCCCGGCCTGGCACAATTCATAAAGAGAGGAAGCTGATGAGGAAGGGGGGGGACTGGGAGACAGAGCACGAGAAGTTATGAATGGAATTTGATGCCGGGTTTCAACAAGTTATTTCTGGGAAAAGGAAAGGGGTGGGGGGAGAAAAAGAAGTCAAGGTTTTCCATTTATTGTACGTGCCACTTTGCCACTTCCATTTTTGTAACTGCTTCGCAAAAACCTGCCTTGTGGTCTGCTCCGACTTCTTCGTTTCGCCTGCAGAAAACCCTTAAGACCTTTTGATCTGACGGGGCAGCAGCCAGCGAAACCTCTCCAAAAGCAGAGGCTTATCAGATATTAATTATTAGCTTAATTACGGGAGAGACCCACTTTGGCCACCTTGCTTTACCCGGCTAATTAAGTAACGCTCTGCTGATTAGCCCAGGCTAACCCATTCCAGGCGGATGAGGTCAGGGCGTCGTGTCAGAACAGCGCCGGCTCCCGGAGGAGCCGGGCCTGGGAGCGGGGCCGGGCTCCGCTCCGCGCTGGCAAGGAAA